CCGAATGGCCTCCTCTCGTTTGTAAATTTCATATGTTCTTATGTCTTCCTTGTCCTCCACGGAAAGAGCTGCCAGACACACGACCCTCCACTTCTCCCATCCGTCCATCGTGTAGCCAGCTGCGTATGTTCCTGCAGGACAGTCAGGTTCCCCTGAACCTGGGCTTCTCGTCGAGAAGATGGTGTCAATTGCGTTGAGAGACCAGTTGATCAAATCCATGCCACTGGCTTCGCTGTCTGTTCTGAATTCTGGTGACACCCTATGTGAGAGCAGAACCCCATCGCACTGTCGGGTCAAGTTCATGTGAGCACATGGGGAGCAGAACTGGTTCTCGCTCAAAGAATTTTCTTCCACTGTTGATTGTCCTGTATTATTTATTGTTGCTGTCTACTAATGTATAAATGTTTTTTTGCTGTCTAAATGCATGTATTCAAGAGAGCAGGAGGGCATCATCATCAGTGATGAGGAGGACACTGTTTTCTTGATTATGTTAGACCTGCCCTATAGCCAGGGAAGGATCGATGAGGTAGGACTTTGCTGGCATTCACAGGGCCTGTTAATGCAACCCTCCCTGTCACCATGTTGGTTGGGCTGTTCCAGGCTGTGTTATCTAGCCCCGATCACTGTTCCCTGTACCCAGGCTCCACTGGATTTGCAGACATGAGCTACTGCCCTCACCAATGAGTGCTTGAGGCTCTGGAAGATCCAGCTACTACCCACTGGAATATGAGAAAAATTAGTGAGTCTGCAATCCCGCCCCTCCATGAGGGGGCTTTTTATTGGTCGGTGATTAAAGGCAGGCCTGTCTCAATAGCTGTGGAAATGATCCTCTGTCATGGCCTGTTAGGTGTTGGGCATTTTGCTAGTGATGGAAAGTATGGCTTTGACACCCTTTGAGTGGGAAAACTCCTACTCTCAATCAAATATATGATCAACAGCACACTCTGTGGTTATGCACTTTCAAATTTCTTTGTAAGTATAGTTTTTTCATATCTTCCCCCAGGAAAATCCTGAGTGTCTTATTTGCAGAATGGATTTGTCTGAATATAGTGGAGAAATTGCCCTGCATAACCTCAGGAGAGCCAGCCTCTACCTCATTGCACATCTATCTAGACAGTTTTTTCAAAGAAATTTGGCTGCAGCATTGGAGTGATGTGAGTGTGACCTCAGCAAGCCAGACTAAATGGATGTGAATCATACAGGAGAAGAATATATACATCAGAATCAGCTTTTATTGCCATTCAAAGCACTTGACATGATAAGAACGAAACACAGTTTCTCAGGTCTAAACTATAAATAGATAAAAATACAATACTAGAATAAAATATCTAAACTGGGTAAAAAAACCTCTGAAGTAAAAAAGTAATGTATAATATTGCAAATTGTATGGCAGAACAGCAGCGACTTAATGTGATCAGTGCAAGTTGCAAGGGTAAGTGACAGAGTGACATCAAGGCATGTTACTACAGTGAAAGATGTTCAGTTCATTTGGGTGGTGGAGCAGTTTAACAGTCTAACTGCAGTCTTAACATTACATCTTAGCAATGAAACACAGTCAGTCTGAAAAAGTGAAAAAAAACTTACATGCTACAGCACTTATGGCGTATAAAATGTTATACTAGACCTAATATGTAAACTTTTATGGAGGGCTGACACACACGGGAAACTCCTGTATCTTTTACCTTCAAAAAACAAAACTTTATTAACACTTTTCTACATCGGCTTAGCTCACAGCTGCTTCCCTTCGGTCATCAACACAAACTCATTTACATATGTACAGTTGACAACTGAGAGCACATTTTTCATTTATGCTAACAGACTTTCATGTTTTTGTATGAATTAAACATTTTATGTTTATAAACCACACTTTTCTGCAAATTAGATTTTGTTAAATATTGTACTATATATTCTGCAAATCGGCTTGCACTATTACAACACACTGCCCTTTCTCCAATCTGTATCTTTCAGCCTGAAGTTATTCTCAGTCACATCAAAATGTTTTGGGGTAGTTAAAGACTTTTTTATTTTGCAAATTGGGTAATCTGGGAAATCTGGGAGAGTTTTTCATCTTCAGCTGTATGATTCATGGGTTCTATGCAGAGATAAATTGGTGATCTTGTTATAGTGCAAGAAAGCAGAGGTAAATTGAATATGAAAGATATTTAAACCCTTTCAATCTGACAGTTTAAACACAATGTGCTGAGACATAATACATAGACAGAAGTCTGTTATACGATGGTTTCATTGCTCCCACCCCCAACGGCTGGATGGAAATCCAGCCACTTTCTTGAGGATGATGGCCAGCACTCGCATGACAGAGCTTGCGGTGTGGACCTTTTGTGCTTTCTTCAGGTCTTCAGGTGGTTCTTCACCAGTGTTTTGTCAATTAACCCTCCAGAGGGCTTGACAGCTAACCCCAGCGTCCTGGGGCAGCCCCCTCGGCCCCTCAGGCTCCACAGCCACTGCTCAAGGTGATTTCTCTCTATCTGGTTGGTTGTTCCAGCGCTCACAGCGCTTTAGCCACAGCCACCTAGATGCGGTCTCAGCTCGTTTAGTGATGTTTGACACTAGACGTCTTCTGTTGAGACCTCTGATGTCAAGCCTGGACAGGGCAGTCCAAAGAGACTGCCCGGGGAATCCTCGGCAGCCTACCTCTACTGGCAAATTCCAAGAACACCATCCCACCTGTTGACATTCGTGGATGAGGGCCTGGTACTTCCCAAGCTTTCTCTCATGGTCCTCCATCCTCTCCTCCCATGGCACAGTCAGCTCAAGAAGAACCACTTGTTTAGTTGTTCTGGACCACAGGACTATGTCTGGTCTGAGAGTTATAATCTCCTCTGGAAACTTAAGTTGTTTCCCGAGGTCAACCCTCATGTCCCAGTCAGCAGCAGATGTTAAAATTCCTGTGGCCATTGATGTTGTATTAGAGCTCTTCCTTGCCTTAACTAACCTAATGAGGCTGGGTGCTGTCGACCCTCAGATGTTGTGGGCCTTCCTTCTCTCCTCCTCCAGACCTGTGGCCAGCTCAGCCAATATCTGATCCTGCCTCCATCTGAACTTGCCGTCTGCCAGACTAACTTGACATAATGACAGCACGTGTTCAAGGCTTGCTGGTCACCCACACAGCTCTCACTCTGGGCTGTAAATCAGCCCCCAACAATGGAGAAATAAAATGAAATATATTTATATGGCAAGTGTTGTATGGACAGAGACGTACAGTAATGGATTTTGGGTAAGCAATGAATGTGGTATAATGGATTTTTGGTAAAGTGCTGAATATGCAGCAATGAATTTTTGTTAGTTGAAGATTTATTGCAGTTATGACTTCAGTACAGAGAGAGGGAATGTTATCTCATTTAGAAAATCCAGATGTAAGCCCTTTGTCACTAGTGTTATACCCAACCTGGAGTCACACTCATGTAGCTTAAAGACACAAGATCCTGGGTCTCCAGCTACTGATGGTGAAATGACTGGACTTCCTGTCTGACACCCAAACTTAAAGGGTTTCCTAAGCCACTAGAATTTGAAAAGTAAGTGTGAGTAATAAACTAGTGAGATGGGGTAAATGATGTAACTAGCACGGTGCCTCCACTGAGGAAATATTTTATCAGGGCCCCTGGCATTAATATATATCCCCAGAAATTAGATAATTAAATGTGTAATGACTATGGCTTGTCCTAAATAAAATGACTCGGCAACAATATATGGTTACTTAACATACAAACATTTATTTACTCTTTTCCGTGAGAGCATGTGTATATATTTAAAACAAACAAAAGAAAATAAATAATTAAATATATATAGTTTTACTCCCTGTGCACATACAACTAAAGTGTAACAGTCAAACCCTATAAGATTTTTCCCTGCACTTCAAGGAATGGTTCAAAGCTTCTACAATAATCAAATTTCTGAGTCGTTATATGCCGAATGGTACCAAATATGTAACAAATGTTTACATTTATTGTAACTAGGCTTTACACAGTCAATATGAACACAAATCACAAACTATCCATTTAACTATCACATGAACAGAAATGGTATCATATTAACCCAACCAAGCGCTTGGAATGCAAAGCTAACCACGTTGGGGCCCAGTTGCTGCGTTGGTGCACATGTAGTCTGTCAGTGAGTTTATCGCACTAGTTCACGCAGGTTGCTTTAACACAGTCCCACATCGCCATCCTTCACGGGTTTACGTTCCAATGTCCGAGTACTCAGGCAACCTTGATTGTGGCTGTGCAGTCACGCGCTGATCCGAGCCACGCTGTGGGAAGATGTCCAGGCGAGCTTCGTCGTCATTTTAAGAATTAACAAAAAAAGAAAAAAAAAAAAAAAAAGAATACCGAACTACAGTGCATAAGGCAAGTGACCTAAACTTCCAGTCTCTAACTGCACTACAATATTTTGGCCAAACTTGAAAGTAAAGTCTCCAAAACAGTAGTTTGCCGAGCGAGTCCTAAGAGGGTGAGAAAACCATCCTCGCACTCTAATCGTAACCCTCTAAGGGAAAAAAAACAAACAAAAACAGGGCAGTGTGGGAAATTGAGTCCTACTGCTAAATGTAGTGTGACGAAAAGAAATGGTGCAATAAAACATAATTCTAAAGAACCCTACACACTCCCCCCACCAAATCGCAGCATGCCCCCATGCTGGCCTATTCAGTGTCCTAAGTTAGGATTAGGACAGATGATACACTGAGTGCATACGCAGGGTTAGGCAACTTAAGGTAAGTTCCATATAAAGTGTGAGGAATACACCACCATGCATGTGATCTATTAAATTGGTCTGGAAATTGCGTATTGTCAGTGTGAACTAAGTAGACATTACATGACTTTTGGGTCAAAACGGTTTCCCTAGTGGGCTCTCCTAAAGCACCATAAGTAAGCCTTTGCGCGGCTTTTCGTTCTATTCCAGATCTCCTAACTACAGGTGAGTGATCAGTACTTCCTTCACTTAATTGGCCCAAAGAGACATCCTCCAACCTACAATCCTGTTTCATTATCATATCTTTGAGAGCTACCCCATTATCCTCATCTGGTAGTGCTGCGGCAGATTCATACCCTCCGGCCTCAGACTCAGCTGAGTCAGGGTCAGTAATAGGCTCAGACTCTATGACTGACATATCAGCGGTGTGTTCAACCTCTACCCCTGAGAAATCTATGGTAGTCTCTATGGCATGTGGTTCCGCTGTAACTGGAACGGACCCATCCTGCTCTATGAGCACTAATTCCGGAGCGCCCGGTCTGGCAGTCTCAATCACGTCCATATCTCTCAAATAATATCCTAATTCAGACTCTGAGGCTGAGGAACAGAGTTCTCTCTGAGGCTCACCAGACATGGCGTCAGAATTTTGTGAAGCAAAACCATCTCTTTTTTTAGCCTTCCTACGCTTAACAGCTTTTGGGGAACATGTGGCCATTGGCTCACTCTCAGCACTCAGTCTAACTTCTTGTCCCAAAGGCAGAATGTGATTTCGGTGCATCACTTTCACATGTCCACTGCCATCTACTGGTCTCAGTCGATACACAGGGAGACTGGACATCTGGCTCTCAACCACGTAAGGACTTGAGCCCCAGCGATCAGCTAACTTCTGCTTTCCCTTTAGGCCTAAGTTATGAATGAGGACCCTATCTCCAGGATTCAGGCAATAGTAGCGCACTTTCTGATCAAATCTTTCTTTGTTTCCTCGATTCAACCTGGCAGCAGTAAAATGGACTGCATTTATACAGTATAGTGCTTTTCTACTCCGATGAGTACTCAAAGCGCTTTACAATTTATGCCTCACATTCACCCATCCACACACACATTCATACACCAGTGGCGGAGGCTGCCATGCAAGGTGCCAACCTGCACACTGGGAGCAATTTGGGGTTCAGTGTCTTGCGCAAGGACACTTTGATGGGATCAGGAAGAACCAGGGCTCGAACCTGCAACCTTCCAGTTGCCGAACGATAGCACTACCTCCTGTGCCACCATCTTCAGTGCTCTGAGCCAACTCGTATACTGCCTGGAGTTCCTGTCTCATTTTTGACACATACTTGGTATACGAGACTGATGATGTTCCATCTGCAGACACGCCAAAGTAAAAATCCACCGGCAGTCTTGCTTCCCTTCCAAACATAAGGAAGTGAAAATCCGGTGGCTTTGTTTGGAGTACAATTATAGGCATGCACAAGATGGGCTATATGTTGACACCATTTCTGCTATTGACTCGGTTCAGGCATTCCTAACATATCCAAGTGTCCAGTTGGTCAGAGCACCTTTGATCAACTGCTCCATTCACGCTCTATTCATGCCCTCAGCATTAATGCTGCCTTTTAATAGGGCTCGAAGAAGCGGCTTATCCAATCGATACAAGAACACAGACAGCTTTTCTCCATCCTCTTGATAAGTGTGCCTGAACTTGGCTGGCCTTTAAAAATCTGATAATGTCAGCAGCAGGCCCTGTCAAACTTACTGTACAACAATGCGCTGCCTCTTAACTGCATCATTACACTGCCACTCACTCATCATTTGAGTAGCCTGATCCATCCAAGCATCATCACCTAATGGAACAGGTTTCACTCCAGAGAACAACCTCAACTTCTTGTAACTAGGCCCATCACCGGGCCCTTGACAACACTTGTCAACTAGCCTACCAATAGTATTTACTAAATCCATGTTCTGGTCTGGTTTCAGACATGGGTCATTGGAAAGAATGGCCCTGACATCCTTTAAGGGTTTTGCCCTCTTGCTGCAGTATTGTCAACAGTTTTGAGTGGAAATCTGAATCAAGTTCTGGAGTAAGATGTTTAACAACATGCACAGTCCAAGGCCCTGCTTCTCCTTCAATGCCTATTTCTGGGGCCACAGTGCAAGACTCTAAATCAGTACTAGTTTCTACTAGTATGAACAGCCTACATCCAGTAGCGTCTCCACGTATTGTAGTGTGGCCAAAGGCTTTTACTGTGCTCAATACTTTCAACACAGTGTCATCCACTACATCTAAGGGCACGTCACCAACTACAATGTCATGGGAGAGGTTAACATTCTCTTCTCGACTCCACTCAACAGCCTTAGTAAGCACCATTCTGTGTGCAACAAACAACAGTGCCACACAATAAAATAAACTTTATCGTTAACAAACGAGCTTACTAATATAGTAGCAAAAAATACACATCAAATTATCCCAAACTGACAAACAGGAAAGAATCCCAGCGGTGCTTCCAAAACGTAACCCCTTTGTCACTAGTGTTATACCCAACCTGGAGTCACACTCATGTAGCTTAAACACACAAGATCCTGGGTCTCCAGCTACTGATGGTGAAATGACTGGACTTCCTGTCTGACACCCAAACTTAAAGGGTTTCCAAAGGCACTAGAATTTGAAAAGTAAGTGTGAGTAATAAACTAATGAGAAGGGGTAAATGATGTAACTAGCGTGGTGTCTCCACTGAGGAAGTATTTTACCAGGGCCCCTGGCATTAATATATATCCACAGAAATTAGATAATTAAATGTGTAATGACTATGGCTTGTCCTAAATAAAATGGCTCGGCAACAATATATGGAGAGCTAACATACAAACACTTATTTACTCTTTTCCATGAGAGCGTGTGTATATTTAAAACAAACAAAAGAAAATAAATAATGAAATATAGATTTACTCCCTGTGCACATACAACTAAAATGTAACAGTCAAACCCTGTAAGATTTTTCCCAGTACTTCAAGGAATGGTTCAAAGCTTCCACAATAATCACATTTCTGAGTAGTTATATGCCGAATGGCAGCAAATATGTCACAAATGTTTACATTTTATGTAACTAGGCTTTACTCAAACCAAAAACTATCCATTTAACTATACCTCCAGAAACAGTTAGACTAGTAATTATGCTGATTACTATGCAAAACGTACATATTTCTTCCACACAATCCTCATCACATGAACAGAAATGGTACCATATTAACCCAACCAAGCACTTGGAATGCAAAGCTAACCACGTTGGGGCCCAGTTGCTGCGTTGGTGCACATGTAGTCTGTCAGTGAGTCTACCGCACTAGTTCACGCAGATTGCTTTAACACAGTCCCACATCGCCATCCTGGTTTAAGTTCCAGGGACAGATGAGCTGAGACTGGATCACGCAGGGTAAGTTGGATCAGGGCTGCATGACAGACAGAGAGTTAATGCTCAGTATGTGGCCACATGTGGGAGCAACAATAGCTCACACTGAATGTGAGGTCTGTCTGTGTTTTTATTGAAAGCAAGGCAGGTGCTGGCATTCTTACAAGGGGGAGGCGTGGCGACAGGGGACCAATGGGTCTTGGGCCGCTGACTGGCTGAGGTCCCCAGGAAGGCAGTCTGAGCCCCGGAACACTGGAGAACCCAGACCAGGAAGTAGGGATCCAGAAATGGGGCTGCAACACAGAAACCAGGACACTCACAGATAATCCCAAAAACCTGACACCTGTTACACAGCGTGCTGCAACAAAATATAATTATTTACAAATGAGGTTTCCTGGGCAATAAGTGAAAGTATCCATTTTTTGTATCACACATTAATAAGTATCAAACTTTTATTGAAAACTTTTGTGCCTCACCTGTATCATAAAATATTCCCGGCTATATAATGATGCAGCTTGGAACAAGGGCTCCAACGTGAGGTTCAAAACCAAAAGGCAGGACCGTCGTGTCTTTGGTGACCTTCCTGACTTTCGGCACGGCTGACCTGCCTGGCATTAGCATATACAGGAAGGCAACCATTAGCATACATTTGATCTGTACATTTAACTTCCTGTCGTTTTTGCAACCTGCACCTTCAGTCAATTTCATCCACCCATTTTAACCACTTAATATAAAATTTTATATGACATCTTACCCACAGAGGGAGATCCGAGGTCCTGAGGCCTTCCTCTAGGGTCAGAATCACTTGGACCTTCCTGTGGATCTGGGCAGCAACTGTTGTCCTTCTGCTGTCCATCCCACGTTCGCTTTGAGCCTCTTCTTTTGAGAGAGAGAAGGATCAGCATTAATAGCCAGAAGTTTCTGCTCTTAATAGCACAGATGTCTTGATGTTACCATAATTGGTGTCAAAAACCATCATTTCCAAACAAGGTCTTGTGATTTACAGTTAATGTGCTGGAATAGAATACATGTGATGCAAGAATGAACAACCACAAAATACGTGAAATACTCAGTATAGCACATCTGTAGGAGTAATGAATTAAAGCACACGATTAGGCTGTGTGTGCAGGTTTTCATTCTACCCAAGAAGAACCTACTTCTCATTGATCCGGACCTGGGGTCCATCCTGTTCCAGTTCTCTGCCTTGTGCACTGGCTGGAAAACGTAGCAGACAACAGTAAATACTTGACGCTAAGCGTCTCTCTAGGCCTGCTAGACTGAGCTAAGACTTTGACGTCTATCTCTGCTCTCTGTGTTTCAGTAGGATGTAAAAGGCTCATTAATGGCTGAGAGATCCACACAAGACAGCGAACAAGGAACTGGGGGAAATCTCAATGAATCAATGGATGGATTGCAAAATGTACAATGAATATAAAATTGGACTTTTTAAGAATTATTTTATTTAATTTTTTTTTTAATTGCCCACCACCACCCCCCCTCTTCAGAGGACAACTTTATTTTACATTAAATTCAAAAGCAAAGAGTGTTGCTGCTCCG